TTTCCTTACGTACCTTTGGATTTGGTGCGCCGCGCGGGGAAGAAAAAAGGAGGAGGAGGAGGGGGAGAAGGAGGAGGAGGAAGAGGAATCATAAGTATAAACGTATTAAGAGGAAGACGAATAGTACGAAGAAGTATAAACATATTAATAATATGATGAGGCGGAGGAGGAGGAGGAGGAGGAGGAGGAAAAGGGGCAGGGGGAGGGGCAGGAGGAGGTGGTGGAGGAGGAGGAGGAGGACGAGGAGGAGGAGGACGAGGAGGAGGAGGAGGAGGAGGAGGAGGCTCTCCTGCATCCTGTCGTGGCTCGGGCGTGCTCGAGGGACGTCCGGTGCGCTGGGGCAGATTCCGGAAGCCCCTCGTCGCCTGTGCCTGCCCTCGCTGGGGCCTCGTCGGCTGCGTCACGTATGCACGTTGGGCCTGCTTTTGCTCCTCCTTCTGCTCGTCCTCCTCCCCTTTCCTCCTTCTCCCTCCTCCTCCTCCTTTTCCCTCCCTCCTCCCTCCTCCCTTCCTCCCTCCTCCTCCTCCTCCCTCCCTCCTCCTTTTCCTCCTCCTCCTTCTCCTCCCTCCTCTTTCTCCTCGTCGTCCTCCTCTTCCTCCTCCATCCATTTTCCTCGCGAATAATTTCCCCCTGCCGCATCCCGACGCTAGTTTTTAGGGCGGGCCGGGCGATTCGCCTGAGACTTCCTCACCGCTTATGACCCTGAAGCTTCAACATTGACAACAGCTTCACAGATGGAGGGCGGGTGGTTCTCAAAATGTGGTTCTCCGTTTAGCGCCGCGCACATTTGCTCTGAGCATTTGCAAGAGCTTCACGGAGTGAGGATCACCCGTTTTCAAAATCCGGTTTTCGCTTAGCGTCGCGCACATTTGTTTCAAACATCTGCAAAAGTTTCACGGATGGGGGAACACCCGTTTTCAAAATGTGGTTCCAGCCTTAGCGCCGCACACATACGTTTTATCAGATTGCCAGAGTTTCACGGATTGAAGGCGGCTCCTTTCAATAATGTGGTTTTCGCTCCAACGCCACGCACATTTGTTCATAAAATGTGCAAGGGTTTCACGGATCCCCACGATCAACGTACCAGACATTGCGTTTGGGAAGGATTCAGTGTTTTGCGGGCGCAACAGTTACATTGATTCGCGGTCTTGAAATCCCAAGGATGGCATTCTCGCACGATCCAGGAATGTCAAGACGCAACAGTCAGGTAGATCCGTGGCGTTGGAATCCCGAGAAAGTGCTTTGGCATGCTTCTGGGTCTTCAAACGGTTGTCTTCCAAGGAGGCAGACCGCGCAATGGAAATGAACCGCTCTAGCGGCCTATGAAGAGGGAGCTTGGAGGGAGGGTGCATTCCAACATTGTTGATGGCTCTTGGGTTTACACTGGTTCCTTCTCCTCATTTCCTCCTCCTTCCTCCTCCCCTTCCCTCCTCGCTCCTCCTCCTCCTCCTCCTCCTCCCTCCCTCCCCACTCCTCCTCCTTCTCCTCCCTCCTCCTCCTCCTCCTCCCTCCCCCTCCTCCTCCCTCCTCCTCCTCCTCCTCTTCAACCGTGCTCAATCTTCGTATTTTCCTAAGTGCATGCATCCATGCGTACGGTTAAGTCTGACATGTTCCTCTACAGGATGGCTATGCAAAAATAGCTAAAAAGTACTCAGGGGACGATTTGTTTGATGTTTTGTTGTTCCTGCATATGTTTGACTAGTTTTCATTTCTCCTCCAACATCCGCCTGTAGGAGGACATGTCCGACCTAAACGTACTGTTAAGGCGGGCATGTTTTTCTACATGGGGAATTTCACACATAGTTTTTGCAATCTGACAAGTTGTGGGAAAATGATGCTTCTAGTTTTGATTGTTTTGTTTTGGGTATCATTGGACTTTTCAAAAAAAAATCCTTCGTCCAGCATCCGCTTGTAGGGGGGGGGGGGGGGCATGCCCGACCTGAACTTACGGCCATGTTAATGTTCTTAGCGTGTATGTGATTACGGGGCTTGCGAAACCGAGGCCGTTGCCTCCCTAAGCAGCGCGGGGCGTACACGCCAAGTCGGGTCGGGCGAAATAGCCCTCCGCTGCACGCGAATAACCAACCACGCAGGATACACGCCAAGTGCGAAGCGCTTAGCGTGTACAGGCGCATCCTCAACTACAGCCAAGGCTAGGACCATGACCGTACACACATAGACATTTACATACCTGCATTCACGCAAGCATGCACCGATGCATACATAGGAACGTACATGCGTACATACAGAACATAGCATGGCATGCCATGATATAATATAATATACATGCGCAAGTATCTACACATTCCCACTTCAATGCATTCGTACATACGAGCATACATTCATGCATGCATGCATACATAAACGCATATACATACATACACACATTCATGCATGAATCTACACGCGCATGCGCACGTTCACGCATACATGCCTACGTACATAAATGCATGCATACACATACATACACACATACATGCCTGCCTGCCTACATGCACACATACATACACACATATATGCGCATACGCATACATACTTATATACATTCATGCATGCACATACTTACTCGCACATATACGCATGCATTCCTACATACACATCCATATGTATATGCATACATGCATGTATGTTTACAGACAGTCATACATGACATACATGCATACATTCGTACAGTCATACGTTCTTACATGTATACGCATACATACATACATTCATTCGTGCGCACACGCATGCATGCATACATGCATGCTCATATGCATACAACATTGCATGCATGCATGCGTACATCTACATACACACATACATACACACATGCACACATCTACATTCATGCATACACACATACATGCATGCATGCATACATATGCACATACATACATACATACGTACATACACCACCATACGTACATTCACAATGCATAGACACACACAAACATGCATACTTACATGCCAACAGACATGCGTACATACACATATACAACCAGCGATGACCAAACACACTTATATACGCATACCTACCTTTCGGCTGCGAGCTAACCATTCCGCGTCAATAGCAGGTCCGCTTTCAAATCGCCCGCAAGTGTTTACACATCCCCGATCGGCCTCGCACTCCTTATCCTCGCCTTCTGCACCTTCTTCACCCCTCCATCGCGCCTCTTATGGCATGCTACCAGCCGAGGGCCTCGCCGACGGTCGAGGAGGTCAACGCATCGCGATGTGGGAAGCGCCGCCCACGCAGCTCCTGACCTCGCGGTGGGTTGCTTGCCGAAGCAAGCGCGCCGCCAACATGGATGAGATTTCTGCCTTCAAGCTACCTCGCCTGGACTGCCAGGGACGCCGTGTGTGCGGCAGAGATGCAGAGACCCCAGGGATCTTACACCCTCCATCACATCTGGCCTGCAGGAGGAGGAAGGTTGGAGGGGGAGGAGAAGGACGAGGCCGACAATCATATTTGTAATTGTAATAAGTAGGAGGCGGAGGATGAGGAGGACGATGACGGCGATGAGGAGGACGATGCTTAGTACGTCTGCGGGCGAGAAGGACAATGAGGTCGAGAGGTTGACGCGGGTGAACACACGTTCGACTTCTTATGTCAGTTCTATCGCCCGTTGTATGTTCAGTGATCGACGTTTTGTTTTTCACGCAGCTCGTTCGTGCAAACTTGCGCGATGCGCTCTATCTCAACAGCCTCGGCTTTATCTTTTGTGCGTTTGATGCGACGTGCTTCCCAGTAAGCAGCAATCTTTTGACGTCCCCTCAGAGCTCTCCCCCGGTATATGCCAGGCTGTCCCCCGCTCTCTCCCCCCTGTCCACCGTGTGACACCGGTGCGCATTTCCCCCTGCAACCACGTGCCTGGGAATCTTGCGAAGAGACGGGGCTCCAAGCTTCTCCCATGAGTTGTAGCAGTAAGTGCAACGCAATGTGTCCACAGCTACCCTCGTTCGATGTGGGTGCCCCCGTGTAGTGCAAACCCACACCAGGTATCCCAGGATCCGTTTTGCTTCCAGACCTTGATGTGTATGGCGTCACGGTCCTGTCAGGAATCGATATCTGCAAGGGCCTGGGCCCCGAATGGCAGGTTATCGTCGAGGCCTGCGGGCGGTGTTCACACTCCCTCCCCCTGAATACCGCCTTGACCCTGATGCGCAAGAGGTGCCTTCAGAGATTTCCCAAGATGTTCCACGCGGGCTGCAGAACCGAAGGCCGCTAGATACGCCGTCTTTCTTGGATTTGTTTTGATTGTTTTTTCCATCGTTCTGGAAATCTACTTGTATGGTCGGGAAAAGGACGGGGTGCATGGCGAGGCCCTAGAGGGCAAGAGTACTTCACCTAAGTCGAACGCGCGGTTCTGGCCTTGCTCTGTGAGAACAGGAGCTGGAGAGTGGAGCGGGTGGGTATGCCATGCAGGTACATTTTGCCCGAACCTGAAGTAAAACGCACCCTCTGGGCTTGTCGCATCATGTCCTGTTGACGGTTTGACTGGCCGCGGGGCCAACATCGGCCAGCCCTCGCCACGGGCGGGCAGGGGCCCGGCCGACGGCCCAAGCCGACAGCCCGGCCTCACCCGCGGTCAGCGCGCACCAGCGCCTGCTGCCCTTTTGGCTCAGTACAGCTTCTTCCCCAAAGCAAGGCCGCTGGTGAGCCCATCGAGAGAGGAAAAGCCTGCATAAACATGATGTTTCGGAGGTCCGCGCGGAGTTTTTGGAACCGACGCTGCCTCCCCCCCTTGGGCTCCGCGCGCTAGGGAAGGGTGTCAAGAGCAAATCCAAGCAATCCGCTCGGACATCCGAAAGATCATGTTCGGATGCAACTCCTGGGAGGTCAAGTTCTGAGTTTGCCCTTGTCCAGAATTCGAATCAATTCGGTTTGATCCCGCTTTATCTGGCTTACTCCCGCTGATTCCGGGCTAATCCCGCTCAGTCCGCGGCCTGATTCGGAGTAGCTGCCCCGCAATGGGGCCTAGTCTTCCCAAAGAAGACCTCCCAGTAGTTGTATCTTGATGTCTGTGCAGCTCTTTTGCCCCTCCGGCCCAGGCGCTAGTGCAAGGGCGCGCGATGGGCGCCTTCCGAGTGGCGGCCCTACTGGGCCTGCAGCTGCAGGCCCTGGGCCGGGCGGCGACGAGTGCCGCGGAGGGCGCCGCGGGCGCGGGCGACGAGGCCTCGGCGCGGCGCTCTCGGAGACGTTCGGGGTCACGCAACTCACCGAGCACGCTCCACCACACGCCAAGAGGCCCCAAAGCAGACGGCTGCCTCGATGGGATGGATCGCAGGTCCCCCTCGGCGGATCTGGGCCATTTGCGAATAGTTGCTTTGCGAGTAGTGCAACGCGCTAGTCTGGTAACGGGGACGGCTACAGGGAGGAAGAACCGTACCCGACCCCATGATTGGCGTTTGCGAAACGGCCTTGGGCGTTTACTAAGAAATTTGCCCTGCCATCTCCGATGCATTGTTTGGCTGCGTGTTCTGCATGGCTTCGCTTGTTGGGGTTCTTATTATGAGGGTGGTGGTTCTGCTCTCCACTGCAGGGGGTCAGCCAAACCCCTTCGAGATCCTCCGGCCGACCCGGGCTTAGGAGCCGCCTGAAGCCGAAGTCGCTCCCCGGACCTCCGCTGAGTCAGCTGAGGTCCGCAGAGCGGGGTCGGCTCCCAAATCTGCGTCAGCGACGCTTGCCCTGGTTTGAGAGCTACTTTGCAGTGTCGTTCAACCGACCCCTATCCCCATCCCCATCCTCATCCTGATCCAGACCCTCACCGTCTCAGCACCCCAGTTGGGGATGTACCCGGCGAGACCCGAAGGAGACAGCCGTATCCCCACCCATGCAGGGGGGTAAATCCAATTGGCCAGTGAGGCCCAGGCCATGCCGGTGTGGGAATTGGGGCGGTTAAGCGATGCTCGGGCCCTTTGGGGCCAGCAGGGGCCCGACAGGGGCTCTGTGGGGCCTTTCTCTTCACCCCCCATTCAGATCACCCGCCACTGCCACCCGCCCGGGTTGTTTCCTGGGGTTTTCTCCCATCTTGGCCTCTCCAGGGGGCCATGGCCCAACAGAACGGCACAGGCAGAGTCTCGCGGCGTGCTGCGCGGGTTTCACGTGTGCATTTTTTCGTCGGCGAGGACCATCGAGGACCATCCTGGACCATCGAGCAAAAAAAAACACGCACGGAACCGAAAAATGCACGGGACATGGACGTCCGAGCGATGGCGAGTGGATCTTCGCAGGAAGCCCAGGGCGGCCTCTCCGGAGCCGCCCTTGGCGCGCTCCTCGCGCAAGAGAGTGGTGGGCCCAGCGCCAGAAAAAAAATCGGGGGTGGACAGAACCCCCAACAGTGACACGTCGAATAGTGAATTGTCCGTTTTCGGTTCTCGAGAGGGCGCCGTGGCCGTTAATTTCCAGGCTTGCGCCCGCCAGGTTTGGGCCTCAGGTCGTTCACTAACCACGTCCATCCCCGAAAAAAATGCATCATCATATGATGTCCCGACCTGCTGTAGCCTGACCGCCTGAAAGAATTTCGAGCACCAGGAGAGCACCCGAGCTGGAGGATTTCCAGGTTCCGGCCCTGGGAGGCGATAGTCTTTCGGGCAGACATTCGATCTTTTCGGAGTGCTCGAGATTTTTTTTGTGAGGTGGTCCGCAGGTACGACGGGAACAACGTAATCGGGATCCCGCAAAGGGGTGTGTGCCCCGGGGTGTATGTGAGTACGATGGTCTGTTGCACCGAACCGCCCAAAACAGATGCCCCCCAGCCGCCGGCAGCTCCCGATAATTGCGGATAGGTGGGGCACGCGGGGGGCATCTGTTTGCGGCAGTTCTGTGCACCAGCGGATCGAACTCGTGCCCCCCCTCAGGGTCTTCCCCCTTTTTGGTGGATCCCGACATACGCACAGCCATACCTTTTCGTGGGCCCAGCGCTAGACTCAGGAGGAAAAGAAACACACAGACACAATTAATCCTCGATTCCCCAGAAAATATGGGAAAAGATGGGAGGTGGGGGGGGAAGACAGAAACCCAGAAAATATGGGAACATATGGGGCATACTTTTTATTTGTGTGTATTTATTTGTGTGTCCTGGGGCCCCTTCATAGACGACCTGCATAAGCACAACGTCTCGGAGCTCCGCGCGAGTTCCTTGCCTCGGCGCGCCGGACACCCCCCCCCTCCCTGGTAAGCTCCGCGCGCCGGGGGCCGCGCTGGAGGCGCCGTCAGGGGGTCCAGCGCCGGCCCCGCGAGAAGGATGTTCGTGAAGAGTCTTACGGAGGAGGCAAAGGTACTCGTAATCGGAGGTGGATACACCTCCGGCGATGCGGAAGAACACTTGAGTTTTCGGCCAGAGTCTCGATCATTCTTAACGCTTCAATGTAAATCCTGAGATTTCGAAAGGGATTCTGGGTTTTTATTCAAATTCTGAGACTATCAATTTCTTAACCCATGATTTCTTAAGCATCTCGCAGGGTGTAGACCTCCTACCCTGACACGTTGATTAAGGAATTGGCCGTTTTCGGTTCGCGAGAGGGCGTCGCGGCCGTCATTTTTGCGGGTCCGGGTCCGTCAGTTCTGGTCCCAGGCCGTTTTCTCTAAGGGGAGGTTTACTAAAGGGAGGTTTGTCCACCGCCGACATAACTACCTCTACCCTTCGCTCGTTTCCCCCTTTTTGGGCCTCCTGGGTAGCCCTCGTCGCCACCGCCGGTCGCCTCGAAATCTCGGTCAGAACGCACCTCTGGAGAGGTCCAGGGCGTGGTGGTGTCGGTACCCTTCGGTTTCCCCAGTGTTGTGCCTCTGCTCTCGGGGCCTTCGGGAGGATGAGAAGGGAGAAGGGGGAGTGTCGGCGGTTAGAATCGGTGCGGTTACGCCGGGTTGCGGCTTGCGAGTTGCTTTGTGGCGGCCTTTCCGGGGCCTGGGCCTTTGTGAGGGACAATGTCATAGCTGTCGTCGTTTCGAGCGACACTGTCATCCACGACGTGCGCTCCACTGTACTAGAAGGAGCGTCAGTGTCATGTGATTCGGTCGCATTGCCTGACAGTGTCATCCGTTTCCCAGGGGCGGGAGGGGCAGATATGACGGGAGGCAAACCGCACCCTTCGCAAACCGCACCCATTGTAATCGCCGAGAGGGGGAGGAGAAGCAGGAGGGAAGGGCCCCTGAAGCATGTCTCTGACCCCCTCATCCCTTCCGTGTGCCTCGAGACCTTCTGCTTCTCCTCGTTCTTCACGTCCTCCAGAGAACGGGAAAGTCGTCCTCATCTTGTGATCGTTTTCTTACCCGTTGTTTTGCCGATCGGCGGGGGCCCTCGCACCCCGCCTCCCCCCCCCTGGAGTAGATCTTGGCTGCTGTTTGGCGCCGGTATCGTGCAGGCGACGCCTTCCCCACACGAGACGCACTGTTGCAAACAGTTGCCTTGGCATCGCTCGGACGTGTGCAGTTATCCTTCGGCGAGGACCATCGAGGAGCATCATGGATCATTTGGCGAAAAAAACACGCACGGAAACCACAGGGGATGGACGTCCGAGCGATGGCCAGTCGCATGGAGCAGAGGTCCAGAGCCAGACTCCCCCCTTCCGCCCGATGTCGAAACGCCGAATCAGAAAACGTTCACCTTCCTTCGGCGGCGAGCGAGGGGGGGAAGTGCAGAGGGGAAGGCCTTCTCAGAAGGCGGCGGGACTCCTCAGGAAGAGCCCTCGCGCCTCCCGAGACGTGTTTTTCGTGCCTCTGGGGAAGGCTCGGACAGACTTCTCAGAAGGCCGGGGGGGCCTCCGGGCCTTCCGAGAAGGCCGCCTCTCCCTCACCCCCCGCGCTCGCCGCCAGTGCCTCTGCTGCCCCGGCCGGCCCCGCAAGGGCGCGCGTGCGGCCTCTGCTGCCACCCCCTCCCCTTGGGGGGGCGGAGGGGGGGGGGCCGCGCCGCGCGAGGGCGCCGAGAGGACACGACAGCCGCGCCCGCCTCGCGCGCCTCGGATGAAGTCGGGCACGTCCCTCTGCAGGAGAGATGGTCAAGAGTAGTCAGAGCATGATCTGGTGACGATGTGTCGAGTAGTCTTTTCCGACTGCTTTGAGTGGTGTTGGACTGGTTCTCAGTGTTCTTCCAAAATCCGCCTGTAGGGGGGCATGCCCGACCTGAGCCTCGGGCCCCTGCGCGCGCCGTCGGCTGGCCCCTGCCCTCCAGTCGAATCCGACGACAGTGATTGGTCGCCTTCTGGGGGCCCACGCCGCTCGTTGGAAGTAGGTACGGTCTGCCCGAGCTATGAACTCCATGGCGTTTCTGGGATGGTATACTCGGGGGTGATCAGAACCCCCAACAGTGACACGTCGATTAGTGAATTGTCCGATTTCGGTTCTCGAGATGGCGCCGTGGCCGTTACTTTCCAGGCTTGCGCCCGCCAGGTTTGGGCCCGAGGTCGGTTTCAGTAAACTACGTTTTACTAAAGGGGGTCTGTCCATCCCCGAAAAAAAATGCATCATCATATGATGTCCCGACCTGCTGTAGCTGTAGCCTGACCGCCTGAAAGAATTTCGAGCACCAGGAGAGCACCCGAGCGGGTACACTTTGGGCGTCCCGCGCGGATCTCATGCCTCCGCGCTGGGCCCCCCCCCGGCGGGGTCTCCGGCGCCGTCCCTGGCGCGCTCCGCGCACCAGGTTGGGGGGGTCTGGCGCAGATCCGAGAAATCCGCAGAATCCGCGCGGAGCGCCAACAGTTCTGCACGAACGAGATGGGCACGGAAAGAATGGGTACAATGCCCAACAGCAGTTCTTGTTCAGTTCGAACAGGACTCGCTGTCCGCGCCGCCGCGGCCTGTGTTCGCTTGAGAGAGAAGGCCGCCTGCCCAAGAGCGGCCGCTGTTGGTTTGGGACAACATTTGTTGTTGGGCATTGTACCCATTCTTTCGGTACCCATTTCGGGTGTCCAAAACAGTTTGTGCTTGTGTTGTTTTTTCCTCTATCGTTGGAAGTAGGTATGGTCTGACCGAGGTATCATATTGATGGTGGTCCTGTGACGGCACACGCATGCTCTGCGTGTCCGTTGGATGTTTTTTGTGCATCCTGGGGGAGGGGACCCTCGGTGATCTCGTGGTTCTGGGGCGTTTTGCCCAGCGAAGGGTCTCATGTTCTTGAAGAGCATTCTTCTGCCGTAGAGCTGGCCGTACACGACACGCCGCTCGTTGGAATTGGGTAGTCTTGGATTTCCAGATCCCCGTCTATCTCAAGCGCCCTCCTGCTTCAATCATCGGCTTGTTTTGTTTGATTATCGTCCATTACTCGCTGGGCGGGCCCAAACCCAATCTACTTCATCCACCTTCCCACGTCACGTTTCCCCCTGCTTCTTCCGATTGGGGGGTATCCTTGCATCTTTGCTTATTCGGTCTACCTTGAACTGCTTCCGACAGCTATCCCCGCTCGAAAAGCTTCGACATTGGCGCCCGATGGTCTTGCATCCTTATCGCTCATCCTTACTATCAGTTTTGACTGCAGTCTGGACCTCTCAAGTGGGGCCCGAGTGGATGGGGTCGAAGGATCGCGCCGCATCGCCGATGTATCGACGATGCGGCTCGATGTGGAGCCCGATTTTCTCCACGTCGACGTCACCGACGCATCGCCGACGTCGACGATGCATCGATGCATTGGCGACGCTGTGTGATACTCCGACCCCATCTATTCGGACCCCATTTGCGCCAGCCCTGCCTTAGGTACTCGTTTTGTGGACCTTTCTTGAGACCATTATTGTTATCCTCTGGCGATGACGGGTGCTGCCGCGGGGGGGAGGGGTGGAGAGTTGGTAACGTCACGATTCGCGCCAGCGCCGTCTAGGAATGCTTAGGAATGCTTTGGAAGCCCAGTCATTCCAAGACGGCGCCGTCGCGCATCGTGACGTTATGGGGGGTAGCGGGTGGCGTGGCCGGGAACGGGCGTTATCGCGAACCACAAGAGTATTGGTAAAGAGACCTTTGGGTCCCATTTGCCAGGTTTGTTCGATTGCAGTTTGCTTGGAGTTCGATCTCGGGTCGAATAACGTTCGACTCATGATGATGATGATGATGATGATGATGATGATGATGATGATGATGATGATGCTCATGATGATGATGGTGATTTCGACTCATGATGATGATGATGAACATGATGATGATGATGATGATGATGATGATGATGATGATGATGATGATGATGATGATGATGATATTGATGATGATGATGATGATGATGATGATGATGATGGAAATGATGATGTTGGATGATGATGATGATGGTGATGATGATGATGATAATGATTTGGACTCATGATGATGCTGCTGATGATGATGATGATAGATATGGTGATGATGGATGATGATGATGATGATATGATGATGATGATGATGATGATGATGATTATGATGATGGTGATGCTGCTGATGATGATTATGATGACAATGATTTGGACGCATGATGGTGATGATGCTGATGCTGATGATGATGATGATGATGATGATGTTGTTGTTCGACTCAAGTCGACGGGTGCTCAACGCAGCATTGACGCACGCGTGGTGCGAGTGGCTCCAGGATGGTGTCCAGAGCGAGCACCTGCCCTGCTGCAGAGGTGCAGCCCCTCTCCAGGGCTGTGCGGCTCCCCGCGGAACCACAGGGCCCCAGCTGCGCCGTCCCCCTCCTCCTCTTCCCCCCCCATCCTCCTCCTCCTCCGCCTTCCCTCCTCTTCCTCCTCCTCCTCCTCCTCCTTCTCCTCCTCCTCCCTCCTCCTCCCCCCCCCTCCTCCTCCGCCTTCGCCCTCCCCCCCATCCTCCTCTTCCTCCTCTTCCTCCTCCTCCTTCTCCTCCTCCTCCTCCTCCTCCTCCTCTTCGTGGCGGCACATGTCGCCAGCCCAGAAGGGCGCCCCAGAGATTCCGATCAGGCGGGCCCAAGACCCGGGTACCTCGCTTCAGAGCGTGTCGGAGTTTTCTCAACAGCGTTCCGCAACGCTCTGGAACGGCCGCGGCGCGCGATACATCACATCCCCCAGAGCCACAGGATCTCAGACGTCTTCGATCTGTCTTGGTCCGATGTTGTCCCGGTTCTGGTTTTGTCTTATTCGATGCTCGATCTGTCTTCGACCCTTGACGACGACGACGTCGAGGACGGCACGTGCATCGCTTCTGCCGCCCGCCGTGGGTCACCCGATTATCCCTCTCCAGCAGGCGGGCGCGCCGCGGCATGGCCGCAGGCACGGCCACGGCGACCAGCACGCGCAGGTGCGCCAGGACGATGCAGTGGCACGGCGCCAGTGCCCATCCCCACAAGCCCCCGTTCCTTCTTGCCTCTTCGGCCCCCCCCCTCCCCCTCATGCAAGGGCACTGCCCCTCCCGTGCCCCTTTCCCGCTCTCCGCCCCTATGCTCCGCCTTTCCTCGTCTGTGGAAGCCGACTCGGAGGCCACGTTGCCCTTCTGGAGGCCGAGCAGAGCGCTGGCGAGCTCATTCAGGGGAGGCGTTTTTCATCAGGAACGCGCAGTTTAGAGGAACTCCCAGGCAACAGCAAGCATTCTGGCACGCCCACTGGGCACAAGGCCTGGTGGCGGATACAGGTAGCGTGTTTCGGATTCTGCCAAGAACGAGGGCAGCTCTTAGCAGCGTTGTGTTTGAGCTTCATGGGGAACCCTCACCGCTGCAAGGCAACTTCAAAGCGGATCATATCAAGGCTGCTAGGCAATCGTACACGAGTGCGGTAAGGGCACCAGTAGTATTTTTGTCCAGCAATGTGCGGATTGAGCGGGATGTCATTGAAGTGTTCTCAGCATTCGCACATTGTTGCGCGTGCCTAGGGGGCGCGGTGAGGATATGGTGAATATGTAAGCAGCCCTCTTCGGATGTAATCGAGTATGCCTACACGTAAGCCCTCCCCCCCAGTAGGATCTCGTAATGAGAGCTGTCGGCAGCTCGGATAAGGCTGTACGTGCGCAGTCGGCAGTTCTTGCTGGAATTAATCAGAGCCTTGAGCACGTGTACGATGATTCGCTTCATTTTCGCGCAGCTGCAGTCGGATCACACTCGAGCTGTATGCAGCTCTGGCAGGTGTCTACTAAAGCTGCACGGGCCATCGATAGGGCTCCATCGCGATATGTTTATGTGTATACATACACATGATGTAGGAATCGAGTTGTAGGCAGCTGTAGGCAGTTGTAGAGTTGTCCCGATGGCTATCCAGACGGTTGTCTCGATAGTTGTTCCGATGGTTGTCCCGATTGTTGTTTCGATGGTTGTTTATTGGTCTGCGAGTGCTGACCATTCAACGGCAACCCCCAGCGCCGCCACATCTCTGTATCACCCGCAGAAAAGGGTCCTAGATGTAAGTATGATTTTGCGTGGGAGGAGGGCGAGGAAGCTCGGGAGGGGTAGCAACAGCATGCAGAGAGAGAGGGTCATATTGACCGGGAAGTTTCTGGGTGGTCAAGATTGGGAATTGGGTTGTGCAGGACGAGTAATATCGTGGGACCGCGCGCGCCTTCCGCCAGGACCACGTGGCGCTTGGGCCGCACAGGCGGGGTTCACGGGGGCCGCTCGGGATGCGACGTCGTGGTGGTAGTGGCCGTCGTGGTTGTGCTCAGAGGGTAGTTGTGATTCCGGACAGTCGAGCAGCATCTGCGACGGCAGTGCAACAATCAGTTTGTGATTCGTTCAGTCCGTCGCAGCCGTAGTAGTGGTGGTAGTATTTTTCTTAAAATTGTAGTAGCAGTAATAATAATCGTAGTAGTAGTAGTGGTACTAGCAGTGGTACTAGCAGTAGTAGTAGTAGTAGTAGTAGTAGTGATAATAGTAGTAGAAGTCGTAGTAGAAATCGTATTGGTATCAGTAGTAGTAGTAGTAGTAGTAGTAGTAGTAGTAGTAGTAGAAGTAGTAGTAGTAGTAGTAGTAGTAGTAGTAGTGGTAGTACGAGTCGTAGTAACAGTAGTACTAGTCGTAGTAGCAGTAGAAGAAGTAGCAGTAGTGGCAGTACTTGTAGTTCTAGTAGAAGTCGTGGTCGTAGTAGTCTTAATGGTATTAGTAGACGTAGCAGTAGTAGTCGTCGTTGTAGTAGTAGACGTAGCAGTAGTAGTAGTAGTAGTAGTAGTAGTAGTAGTAGTGGTAGTATTAGTAGTAGTAGTAGTCGTAGTAGTAGTAGTAGTAGTAGTAGTAGTAGTAGTCGTTGTAGATTTGATCGTCGTAGTGTGAGTCGTAGTGGTAGTAGTCATAGTAGTAGTAGTAGTAGGTAGTAGGTAGTCGTAGTAGTAGTAGTAGTAGTAGTAGTAGTAGTAGAAGTAGTAGTAGTAGTAGTAGTAGTAGTAGCAGGAGCAGTAGTAGCAGGAGCAGTAGTAGTAGTAGTAGTAGTCGTAGTCGTAGTAGTAGTAGTCGTAGTAGTAGTAGTAGTAGTAGTAGTCGTAGTAGTAGTAATCGAAGTAGTAGTAGTAGTAGTAATAGACAGTGGTAGTAGTAGTAGTAGTAGTAGTATTCGTCGTCGTAGTAGTCGTAGTAGTGGTAGTTAGTGTTGTAGGATTAGACGTGGTGGTATCAGTAGTAGTCTTCGTTGTAGCATCTGTAGCAGTCGTAGTAGGAGTAGTAGTAGTAGTAGTGGTAGTAGTCGTCGTCGTAGTAGTAGTAGTAGTAATAGTTTCAGTTCGTCGTCGCAGTAGTTGTTGTAGGAGTTTTACGTGGGTATGCGGCAAAGGGTTGAGCTGATCGTGTTATGCCGTGCATAATTCGATAATATCTCGGGAACTTATTGGAATGTGTCGTTTCGCCGTTCCATTCTGTAATTTTAGGGGGGCAGTGAGTAGTATAAGGTCACCCAAAGTTCAACCATATGTTGAGTATTCCACTTAAGGCCACATGTTAGGTTTCTTTGCCGAGTGTCTTGGTTCGTTCCAAGGCGTTCCGCAACCCTGTTCGAATCTTATTCCATCAATGTGTGATCTGGGTGCTCTATTTCCGGGCCGTATGCTTTTAACGTCGGTATTGTTGACGGTTGATTCGGTTTCGTGTGACATGCACTCGAAGTTTGTGTTGGAATGTTTATCTTCCTGGGGCACAATGTCTATTCGCTTGTGTGCCGCGTTTGTACATGTTCATTTTCCTTGTTCTGCATGTCAAGTTGCACTTCTGTTCGTAGCAGTCGTTGCCGCCTGTGTGGTAGGGGTGGCCGTAGCCGTCGTAGCAGCAAGGCCAGTAGGAGCAGCAACTGTGATCTTCGTGGTACTCGTCGTAGAACTAGAACCAGCAGCAGTAGTAGTAGCAGTGGTCGTAGTACGTGTAGGGATAGTAATAGTAGTCGTAGAAGAAGTCGTACAAATTGTCGTAGTAGTAGTAGTAGTAGTAGTACTAGTAGTAGTAGTAGTAGTAGTAGTAGTAGTAGTAGTAGTAGTAGTAATCGTAGTAGTAATAGTAGTAGTAGTAGTAGTAGTAGTAGTAGTAGTGGTAGTAGTAGTAACTGCAGTAGTAGTAGTGGTACTAGTAGTAGTAGTAGTAGTAGTAGTAGTAGTAGTCGTAGTCGTAGTAGTAGTAGTAGTAGTAGTAGTAGTAGTCGTAGTAGTAGTGGTAGTAGTAGTAGTAGTAGTAGTAGTAGTAGTAGTAGTGGTAGTAGCAGTAGTAGTAGTAGTAGTAGTTCTTGTAGTACTACACAGAGTCGTAGTAGCCGTAGCAGTAGTCGCAGCAGTTGTAATAGCAGTTTCAGTAGTTGTGGTGGTAGTCGTAGCAGTAGTAGTAGTAGTAGTAGTCGCAGAAGAAGTAGAAGTAGTAGTAGTAGTAGTAGTAGTCGTAGACGCCGTCTCTGTAGTAGTAGCAGCAGTAGTCGTTGGAATCGTAATAGTAGTAGCGGTTGGAGTACTAGTAATTGCCGTAGACTGTTGTGGTAGGACCAGAAAAAACTAGTCGTAGTAGCGGTAGTCGTAATCATAGTAGTAGTAGTCGTCGTAGTAGTAGCAGTAGTCGCAGCAGTAGTAGTAGTAGTAGTAGTAGTAGTCCGTCTTGTCGTATTCATAGTAGTAGTAGTCGTAGTAGTAGTAGTAGTAGTAGCAGCAGTAGTAGTAGTAGTAGTAGTAGTAGAAGTAGAAGTAGCCGTAGTAGTAGTAGTAGTAGTAGTAGTAGTAGTAGTAGTAGTAGTAGTAATGATAGTAGTAGTAGTAGTAGTACTAGTAGTAGTAGTAGTAGTAGTAGTAGTAAGTGTGGAAGTAGAAAAAGTAGTAGTAGCAGTAGTAGTAGTGGTAGTAGTAGTAGTAATAGTAGTAGTAGTAGTAGTTGTAGTAGTAGTTGTAGTAGGAGTAGTAGTGGTAGTAGTAGTGGTAGTAGTAGTAGTAGTAGTAGTCGTAGTAGTAGTAGTAGTAGTAGTAGTAGTAGTAATCGCAGTGATAGTAGTAATGGTAATTCTAATAGTACTAGTAGTAGTAGTAGTAGTAGTAGTAGTAGTATCAGTAGTAGTAGTAGTAGTAGTAGGAGCATCATAAGTAGTAGTTGTCGTCGTCGTCGTCGTTGTCGTAGTCGTAGTCGTTGTCGTAGTAGTGGTAGTAGAAGCATCCGTCGTGGGGCCATCCTGGGCGTCTTCGACCGATCGTGCGGGGATTCGGGGTATCCTTGGACCGTCTGGGCGGCCTCCTCCCTGGGCCCTTTGGACGCGTCTTGGGCTCTTGTCCCTGAAAAAAGGGGTGCGGGAACATTCGGGTGACCCCAGAGAGCACGCGGGGAGCCCCAAGAGATTTGGCAAGTCGGGGTCTGGGCCTAAGCATTGGGGACAGACGCTTCAGGGATTAGGCCAAGGACCTGAGAACACTCCAACTCGTGCCTCAGGGCACGGTGGCGGATGGGAACCAGCATTTGCAGTCGTGTTAGTTTCCGTTGGAGCATTGGATGTCTGTTTCAATAGGATGTATTCGTATTCGTATCATTCGTAGTCGTGCTCGTATTCGTATCGTTGTTCGTATTCGTATCCATTCGTATTCGTGTTCGTGTTCGTAGTCCGTTGGGCATTCACGTTCGTATTCGTATCATTTTTCGTATTGGAATAGGACTGTCCATATGGGCGTCTTGCCTCCGCCCGCCCCGAGCATGGGTCCCCGGACGGCCTCCAGGGCGAGCTGCCTGGTGCGCCCGGAGGTCCCTGCCGCTCCCGGGGGAGCGCTCCCGGGGCCTCGCGGGAGCCTCGCGGGGCGTCCTCGCCGAGGGTCGGAGCCCCCCCGAAGCGGTGCAGTGGCCACACCGTGCTGTGAGTCCGTCGGGGCTCGTAAGGACTCGAGTCTTATGATGTTCCAACCTACCTTAGCGTTGACCACCAGGAAGAATAGCGAGCGCCCAAAAAAGTACCGAAACTCAAGGGTTTTCACCTGTCGGGCCCTGGGAGACACTCGCCCGACACTGTTTCGACACTCTTCCGACACTCTTTTGACACTCTTCCGGGTGCTCGAAATTATTTTTGGGATGCGGTCCTTAAGTAGGATGGAAACAACATAATTCGAGTCGTTCTCCGAGGATGTCTCGGGCAATTTGGGGCCCTCAGGGTCACAAAACCAGGTGGTGACGCACCGTGCGGTGAGGACGACGAAGATTCCGAGGTCACCGCACGGTCTGTCAACGCAACTTTTCGGGACCCTTCAGAGGGTCAGAAGAGAGAAACTTTCATCTAATGACTGCCACGGCCAGCGCTGGCGCGCCAAGCAGCGGCGCGAGGGGAGCGCGGAAGGGGCTTCTCTCAGGCGCAGCCTCGTGCACGCGGAGGTGGGCGCGGGAGGCGTGCAGGCGGGCCCTTGGGAACGCCTTTTGCCGTCGAGCTGAGTTTTGTTTCCGCTCTTGTGGGCAAGACTTGTGTCCATATCCAATGCAGTTTGGAGTTTCGGGCTCCCCTCCCCAAAACCTTGATGCACACTGGATATGGACAAGAGTCTGGTCCCTATGCAGAGGCTCGAGTTTTGTCAGCATCCAGTGCGCCTCGGCCTCGCGGGCAACCCTTAAAAGAAAGTCCAAGACGCACTTGATATGGATAGAAGCACTTGCCCGCAGCTCTGCCTTTCCTCTCGGTGGTGCGCCGATGGTGGGGGTAAGGCACGGCATGCCTTCTCCGCTGGTGGTGGAGCTTCCCAGGAGCCCTCGGGCCTTCAAGAAGCTGCCTGTTGCTCCGGAGAGGGCCTTGAAAAGGGGAACGAATAATGACATGAGCATAAAACTCAGAGGTCCGCACGAATTTCTCGGATCCGCGTTCGACCCCCCTGGCGGTGCTTCCGGCGCCGCCCCTGGCGCGCTCCGCGCGCCAGGGAGGGGGTCCAGCGCCGATACGAGATATCCGCGCGGACCTCCGAGTTTTTATGTTTGTGTCAGTTCTCGCTCACCAGTCGAAGGCATGTTTTTTTGTGGTTGTCCAGACGCCCGGAGGTTTTCCAAACGAGCCTTCTCTGTGTGCGGAGAGGCCCGCCCCCTCTCTCTGCCTCTGCCCGCCTGGGCGCGCCGCCCGCTCGTGTCCGCCCCATTGTTATGTTCCGCCCGCCGGGGTGACGCCTAAGTCGGGCATGTCCCTCTGCAGGAGGAGTACTCAACAGTGGTCAAAAAGTTAGTCTGGGGACGATTCTGTTTTTTTTTTTTGACTATTGTGGGGCATCTGTCTGGTATGTTTCGTTTTCGGTCCAACCACCCTGTAGGAGGACATGCCCTACCTAAGGTGACGCCTTGGACTGGCGCCGGTGGCTCACTGTGCTATCGCTGCTCGTCGTGTGCGCGCGGGTCCGGCTGTGCCATGCATGGGCGGTGAGCGAGGGGGGGGGTAGTGAGAAGGAGAAGGCCTTCTCAGAAGGCGGCGGGACTTCTCAGAAGCCCCCGCGTCTTCCGAGAAGTGTTTTGTGTGTGTGTGTGTGTGTTTATGTGTATGTGTGTGTTTGTCTCCGGAGAAGGCTCGGACAACTTCTTAGAAGGCCGGGTGACTTCCGGGCCTCCTGAGAGGGCCTTCCCTTTCGCACTTCCACCTTGCGCTCGCCGCCAAATGAAGCTGGGGTCACCGGTCGTTGCGCTGAAGCAGCGGCACGTGTCAGCCGGCACCGAACTGGCGGCCATAAGGCTGACGCAGTATCAGAGGACAACGACGTCTCTTCCCTTCGTTCCGCATCTGCACCTCCTTGCCTTCCTCTTTCACCGCTTCCCACCACTCTATCCCTCACCCTTCCCGTATCCTCTATCTCTCCGCCCTCTCTCCCTCTCGACCCGCTTACGCCCTCCTTGTCTTTCCTCTCATTCTTCCCTCTCTCCCTGCCACGCATCGGTCCCGCGCTCCCTCCTGACCTCCGATGTCTTGAGTCTGTTTCGTGGACCCTTGGATATCCGACCTCCGCTCCGGGGACCTGCTTGTCGGCCTGCTGTGTTTGACGTCCCAGGGGGCCGTGGGCCGCAGGGGGGCCGGCAAGGGCCCCCAGAGACCGAAAGTTGCCCACAACATCTCCCGCGTTGAGATTCAGTTCGAAAGAGAACACGACATAAACATAAGCTTTTGGCGCTCGGCGCGGATTTCTTGGATCCGCGCAAGGCCCCCCCAGGCGGCGCCTTTGGCGCCGACCCTGGCGCGCCCCGCACGCCAAGGAGGGGATTCCAGCGTGGATCCAAGAAATCCGCGCGTAGCGCGAACAGTTGTTGTTTATACTGTTTTCTCTTCTTCGATTCGAAGACGCCCACGGCGAATAACCGCCGCCCCCTGCCTTTTTGGAAGAGTGTCCGAAAGCTGCGACAAGAGCTTGGTCTAGCTAATTATCGGAGCATGTGTTTCCCGAGTTTGATAGGAAAGCCTACGGGGAACACCCGACGAGAATGACCGCAGTGAGGACCTCGATCTGGTCTCACTCACCGCTATTGGGGGCGCCTTTTTGGATAGTGTTTGTGGTCGCCTAACACCAAGGATGGTCATAACATTGAATGTTCTTGAGGAGGCCTCAGAACATGCTATTATCATCGTGGGATTACTGATGTTCAAAGGGGTGTCGTGTCAGGGTTCTAGGTGAAGACATTGTTTTGTTCAGCGCTGCTTCATGAACGCCTCTGTGGTCAGACGTTGCGGCACATCATTCGGGTGAGCTATCGGACCAGGTGTTTTCTGAGCCTCCTTTGCAATCTGTCGGGGAACACATGTTCTCAGCTATCGGACCATGCGTTCCCCGAGTCGGTTTCGAAAGCCTTCGGGGAACACGTGGGCCATAATAATTTCAATGGGGAAACCGATCTGGTCTTCCTCGCCCATCTTGGGGGTCTCCCTGAACAGGTTTTGGGCTCACATAACAGAAGGGCGGGTAGTTTGGGGCGCGGTGGAACTGCCTCGTCACGGGGTTGCATCTATTGTTTGTGCGGTTCGTCTTTGCGAACACATTGGTCCTCCACCACAGCCGGCTCACCTGATGTTGAGGATGTCATTGGCATTTGTTCCCCGAAGCCGCCTAGATTTGTTTCGGGGAGCGCTCGTGGGTTAATTTATCACACTTGATTCGAGAGGGCATCATGTTTGTCCGTCTGTGTATTGGGGCTCAAATGTTTTTGGGCGTCTTGGAGGCCATTTTGGGCGTCTTGGGGGCCTCTTGGGCCGCCTTGGGGCCCTCTTGGGGCCGTTTTGGGGCCACTTGGAGGCCTCGTGGGTCTTCTCGAGCCGTCGGAACGCCGAAAAGAAGCACATGCCAACTTCTCCAAACATAAAAAAAACACCCAGTGACGTTGGCCTCTTCGGGCCCTCCAGGAGTATGTCTTGGGTGCGTTTTGGGAGCCGCCGTCTTGGCCATCTTGGAGCCATCTTGGGCCGTCTTGGTGGGCTTCTGGCCCGTCTGACGTCGTCGGAGGCCGTCTTGGTGACCTCTCTGGGCCGAGTTGAGGCCCTCTCGGGGTGCTGCCGGACCGTCTTGGAGTACATTTTTTGCGTCTTGGAAGCCCCTTGGGCCGTCTTGGGGCCCCCTTCGGGCTGTTTTGGGGGCCTCTTGTGCTGTTCAGGGGCCTTTTCGGGGTGCCTCTTGGGGCCCTCTTTGGGGCCTCTTGTGGGCCCCTTCGGCGATCTTGGGGCGATCTTTGGGGGCTCTTGGGCCGTTCCAGGCCGTCGGAAGGCCGAACATGAGCAAATGCCGTCTTCCCCCAACAAGTCCCAGTGCTACCGTCCGCATGCGTCCCGCACACCCAGTACAACGTTTCGTGGCCCCATAGGGAGCTCCACCGAAGCCCCCGGTGGGACCGTCCGCATGCGTCCCGCACACCCAGTACAGCGTTTCGTGGCTCTCCTCTCCCTCCTCCCTGCGTTTCACCCACCCAGTACAGCGCTTCGTGGCCCCATAGGGAGCCCTACCGAAGGTCCCAGTGCTACCGTCACCATGCGTCCCGCACGTCCAGTACAGCGTTTCGTGGCCCCATAGGGAGCCCCACCGAAGGACCCAGCGCTACCGTCCGCATGCGTCCCGCTCACCCAGTACAGCGTTTCGTGGCCCCATAAGGATCTCCACCGAAGGCCCCAGTGCCCCAGTCCGCATGCGTCCCGGAAGCCCAATTTTGCAGTTTCACCCACCCAGTGCAGCGCTTCGTGGCCCAATAGGGGGCTCCACCCAAGGCCCCAGTGCCACCGTTCGTATGCGTCCAGGAAATGCAATTTGGCATTTTCACCCGCGCAGTGCAGCGCTTCATGGCCCCATAGGGGGCTCCACCAAAGTCCCCAGTGGCACCGTCCGCATGCGTCCCGGAAAACCAATTTGGCATTTTCACTCACTCAGTAGAGCGCTTCGTGGCCTCAGAGGGAGCTCCACCGAAGCCCTCAGTAGGACCGTCCGCATGCGCCCACGAAACCCAATTCGGCACACCACCCACACAGTACAGCGTTCCCCCCCGCCCAGTGCAGCGCTTCGTGGCCCCATAGGGAGCTTCACCGAAACAGATATTCACAATCACCGTACCCACAACTGCATATGGTTGGGACCTTCGCCAGGATATTTGTTTTTTTCTCAACCCTCCTGCGTTGGGTACTCGTTTTGAATAGAGCACTGCGGTTTCCGTTCTCCTCCTCCCGCCCCCCCCCCTCTCTTCCCTCCTCCTCTCCTCTCTTGCTTGCCTTCTCCTCCTCTCTTCGCTCCTCCTCTTCTCTTCTCTTGCCTTTCACGTCATCCCTGGCGGGCTGCGATCTGCGGGACTGTCACCACTTTCGAGGGCTGCTGGTGGGTCCAGCGGAGTGAGGCACCACGGGGACTCAGATTAGACCTCGCCATCCCTGGGGGGGGGTTGCGATCTGTGAAACTGTCGCCACTTTCGAGGGCTGCTGGTGGGTCCAGCGGAGTGAGGCACCACGGGGACTCAGATTAGACCTCGCCATCTCTGGGGGGGGCTGCGATCTGTGAAACTGTCACCACTTTCGAGGGCTGCTGGTGGGTCCAGCGGAGTGAGGCACCACGGGGACTCAGATCAGACCTCGCCATCTCTGGGGGGCTGCGATCTGTGAAACTGACGCCACTTTCGAGGGCTGCTGGTGGGTCCAGCGGAGTGAGGCACCACGGGGACTCAGATTAGACCTCGCCATCTCTGGGGGGGTGCGATCTGTGAAACTGTCACCACTTTCGAGGGTTGCTGGAGGGTCCAGCGGAGTGAGGCACCACGGGGACTCAGATTAGACCTCGCCATCCCTGTGTGAAACTGTCGCCACTTTCGAGGCTGCTGGTGGGTCCAGCGGAGTGAGGCACCACGGGGACTCAGATTTGACCTCGCCGCCCCTGGGCGGCTGCGATCTGTGAAACTGTCGCCACTTTCGAGGG